TAGTGGATATTTCTCTTTTAAAATATGAGGTACCTTTCTAACACTGCTCGGAAAAAACATACACCTATGTCAGACACACACAATTCACCTGGTGAAAGGAGATAAAAAAAACCCAGAGGTGTAACAGCAGCTGGGAAATCTCTGAGGTTCAGAAGGCTGTAATACTTCCGTTAAAAAGTTACTAAGTACCTTATGAATGACCAGTTTTCTTTTTAAGGAAAATCTTGCAGGCTTAATTTCTCTTAATTTAAATTTATTCCTAATACAATTAACTTTGAGAATTTACTTAGCTACAAGGCAAAGAAGCCCATCTTTGCCACAGAAGCATCTGTCGTTGCAATTACTCCATTTACAGTCTATGTCATCCATTAAACCATATTTTAAGGTATCTCCCATCTCATAACAACCACTACTTAGAGAGAAAAAAAAAAGTAAAACAAATGTGGATCTCAACAAGAAAGGATATTTAACTGATGGCTATAAACTAAATGTAGCTAGCAACTTGGTCATAAACATCAGCCAGAAAACAGATTTATGAAAAGTATTTAATATTAAAATTAAAAATACAAACACTAGGAAAAAAAAAAAATGTAACTGGCCAAAACTGGAATCAAAACTGTGCATATGGTTCTGGAAAAGACAGTGAGACAAGATTAAGATGATTGATTTCAAGCAAAGAAACATCCCGATACATTTGGAAGAAATGAAAGATGAGTATCAGTCAAAATTGCAGTAGCCCAGGCGAGAAGTTTCATTACAAGCATTAGAACTTTGCTGTAAGGGAGAGTAAAGTTTTAAAGGTCAGAAGCAGTTTCTGGGAGAAGGAAAAAAAAATAAATCCTAACCTTACAGAAGATGAGTACTGAAAGCAAAACTGAAGATGTGCTATTACTCAGAAAAACCTAACTTTTGCAGAGAGTAAAATCAGTTTATAGTAAACTAAAGGATGTTAAGGCACATACCACAAAGATGTACACTGATCTCCAATACAACACACGTGTCAGTTGTAGAAAACTGACTTCCAGTGTTACAGCAAGCCAGATACACTAAGCACGTCAAACCTCATTTTCAGACCTCGCATCCTAAAGACACTGTATCATACAGCCACACTGCAGCAGAAAGTATACTCCATTTTTATCTCTTGACAAAACACAGTAGTTGTGAACCCAGAGCTCAAAAAGCTTTCCCAGTTCACAGAAAACAAGTTATTTCTAATGGGGGGGGCACATCACACATGTTGAAAACCACAATTAAACTCTCCCTTCCCCAACATTCTACACAGAAATTTGTAGGTGGTGATTTCAGCACATCTGCGTTACTGCATGAAAACTGCGTTCACAAAGAGAAAGGCCAAATAAATAATAGTAATAATAATAATAATTTTTAAAATCACTGGTTTAAGGCATCTATATGAAAGACTCACATTCATTTAATCAAGGAGATAGCTCTTCAGGATGCACTCATATTATTTGAGGGGAAGGGGGGCAGGTGTGGGTGTGTGGAGGAAAACAGGCTGGTGGGCAACAATTTGATAGTACAACCTTTAAGAAAGTCTTGTTAGACTGAGGGCAACACTGTTTCTACTAGTATAGAAAGGTAAGCAAAATGAGCTACACTAGCAAGGCAGCAAAGAACTTACCTCGGCGTAACCACACCAGCCCAGAGGAGCTGTGCTGGCACCCAGGGTCACAAACTCCCATCCCCACAACTAAGGGTGCTTGTATCAACTAAAGGTGACCTTGCCATAGAGATGTAACAGCCCTCAGAAAACTGAACATCTGTATAAGATATCCGTATAAGAGCCATTCTCCCAAACAAAATTCAACCAGAAAAAATAAAAAAGAAATTGCACTAAAACCTCTTACAGTTTAAGGGAATCCATGCCGTCCAGCTCCTGAAGCTACTCTAGAACTACGTAACTTTTAAGAAAAAAACCCAGACCGTTCTAATATACTACACAACACTGAAAATACCAAGACTTTCTAAATTACTTCAAAATGTTTATTACAACGTGTGTTAAAAATATTTCACTTTCCCTGTAGGCCGACGTTACTCTTACCTCCTAAAGAAGGAACTGGCATTTATTAATGCCAGCAACTCAAAACTGCTCTAATACAGTATTTTCTAAGGCAAAGCAAATTCTAAGTAGGAACACACAAACCACTTAAGACTTTCAAGACAGAAGGAGATACAGCACTGCAACGACACTGGAAAACGTGCCTGTATTTGGCTGCTGACAATCAATCAAGTATATTAGGACAATCTTTGCCAACTTCTTTTAAGAGGAAAACCACCAATGCTTGAGTTTGGTACATTCCAAGCCCAGAATATCACTTTCATGTAGGTCTACAGTGAGAACGTGAGAACTCAACACAGTGTTCAATATAAATCTACAAGTTTGGGAATAAGTTAACTAGACTCAGAAATTGTTTTCTGGGTATCTAATATATTTTAGACTAAAAAACGAGCCAAAAAGTTAACAGCAAAAGAAAACAGATTGAAACATCCACTAAGCACGTGTGCTGGAAAAAGTTTCAACACTGCAAGTTTCTTGCCTTTCTCCTTCCCTCTCTCTAATGATGCTATGAATCTAACAGTTTTAAAAAGAGTGCTTGAGTAAGTACATAAGCACCATGTTATTTATTTTCTATAATTAACTAAGGAGTGGGGACAGCACAACAGATTCTATAAGTGGAATTTACTTAATGAAAGCTGCTTGCACTATTTCAAAGCAAATAGAAAGAGCAGATAGGCTGAAAACGTAAAATTCAAAGCAGTTTCTAACAGCAAAACTGGGACCAAAAAAAATGCAGTCTCTCGAGCAGCAAATGAAAAAAAGATAACCCTCCAAACACACTAAGAAGTTATATTTTATTTAATTAGAGGAACAGATACGTTAAGAAACCCAGACAGTTGAAGTGTCCCAAATCCAGGTAAGAAGTTGCCAATTGAAAAATCCAGAAGAATCCTTTAAGAGTTTTCATGTAGCATATATGAAGTGTTTGCACCTCTATAAACCTCTGCATAGCTATCGGGTGATGAGTCTCAACCATTCTGATAAGAATTATTCCATTTGCGCACCACCAAAACTGTCCAACAATACCCTGTGTTTCGCCATAACTTTTTACCATGAACTGTTTACATTCATTTATTAAGCTTTCCAGTAAGCTAACAACTAAAAGAGACCAAGTATTCTGTCAAAATCCGCACCTGTTCAACAAATACATTCACAGATTATCCATACCTTGCTTGATCACAAATGTCTTCACTCAGATGTGTGCTCCCCCGAATCAAAATACACCTTTAACTTTCCTACCTTTCAATCATCAGGATTTCTCTCACAAAATACATTTTTGTTTCACTGCTCTAAACAGAGCAAGACATTCTTCAGAAAAATTATGGTTACTACTGAATTTAAGTACTGATTTCCACATCTATCACAAAAAAAGCAAGAAGTAGCTCTAGCTAAAGAGCAGCTTCTCTAATGCTCTTCTTACTAGAGACCTGTTGATATTAGCAATAGCAATGCTCATGTCCTCCAGTAACAACGTAATGTATCTAACATACTCTAAAAGTTACAGACAAACTTTTCAAAACTAATATCTCATTCACCAAGAACAGCAAAGGTAAAAATTCTAATTTCAATGATTCCAAGTAGAATCACATCCACTGCTCAACCAAAAGCTGGCTACTAAATCTTTGTTTACTGTCAAATTATGATCTTTTTTTAAAAAAAAAAAACAACAAACCCCACCACCACACTCAAAGAATTCTTCCTTTTTCTTGCCAGCTGTTAACTGCATTGAATGAGGGCACCGGTGGCTTCAGAAACGCCACCACTCACCAGACTCTGGCAAGAGGAGGCCTCCTCCATATCCCAAGGGCTAAGAAGATCTAAAGTGAGTTCAAAGAAACTCCTGTGGGACAGGTAGTCAAGTACTCTCATGGCAAAATGACACCGAATACTCATCCGCTTCACAACAAGCATTAAAGAGCTGAACAGTCTTTTTTTACTGCCACCCCCTCTTCCCCCAGTACAATCAGTTCGTATTTGCTAGGGATTGTGACATCTGAGATTTTCAAAGCTCTAGCTTGCCTTCGCAGCATCGCTGAAGATCTTTGCAGGACTGCAGAGAAGCCCCTTGATCTTCACAGCCCTTAAGTCTACAGGGGAATTTCAGACATTTTGGTCTCGTAGTAAAGAAATGCGAGATGCAAGATGAACTACATTCCCTATTGATTCCTAATGCAAATAAGATGAAATAACAATTTCATTTCTAATAAGGTAAGAATCTCAATAAACTCTATGCTCCAACCCTGGGATCTGGATTTTGGGTTTAGCTGTTTTTTTGCTAAAGTCGACAGCTTATCTGAACCCGAAAAGCAATTTTTAGATATTGTTCTGGAAGGAAGAGTAAGAAAGATTGTAAAAAGTAAATCAAAATAAGCAGACTGCACGTAAGAAGAAAAATAAAGGAAAAGAGCAGAAAAAGAAATCTTGTTTCTGAAGAAAAAACTTGTATATGCAAAATAAAATAAGAAATCAGACACATTTGTGCGTGTGAACGTACACACGTAATTCAACAATAAAGCGTGCAAAAGCATCATCTTTAGTATTATTTCGTATTTGTGCAACTGGCACTAAAGGAATATGCTCAGCAAGGAGCTCCGAAATAACTACTGTTGTGAAAGACACGAAAACGACGAACTGTTAAGCCTTATCTGCAGCTCATCTAAAGCACAATAAGCCCAACTGCTCTGCTTTCAATCACTTCCAAAAAGAAAAAAAACCCAGGAGGGCAGAAACCTCGGACCACCACCCTCCCCACTAAAGCCCCAGAGGTTCAGGCGGAGAAGCAGAGCGAGAGGAGGACGGCAGGCACGAGTTAACAGCAGCCAGAGAGGGAGGAGGAGAAGGAGATGGAGGCAGGAGAGGGGAGAAAGGGGCTGTTAATCGCGGCCCCGAGAGGCGGGGAGGGCCCGGGCCCCCCGAGACTGACCTGTGCCGTCGCTGGCGGACACGGAGAGCGCCGGTGAGGAGAGTTTAGGCCGCTTGGCTGAAGGCGGGCCCGGCTCCACCACATTCTCGGCCATTTTTAATTCTTTTTTAGACAATCACTCCGAGCAGAGAGACGCTGCGTGTGTGTGTGGCGGCGGGGGGAAGAACCCCAAAACCTTCACCTTCTCCTCGGGTCAGCTGAAGAAACAACAATAACGCCGAGAGGGATCGAGGAGGATCCGGCGGAGGAAGGGGGGGGCCAAGTTCCCCTTTTTCTGCCCCTCGGGCTCCAGGAGGGCGGCAGCGGAGAAGCGGGGA